GATTTTTGGGAAAGGGGGGGGGGTGGAGTCCCAGGTTGAAACTAAGATCTCTTGTGGCAAGTTTTAGGGGTAGAGATGTAAAAGGGTAGGTGCGGGTTGAAGTCTGAGCGTGGAGCTACCACCTCGATTGGTTTCGTCGCCTAGGTCGGACTCAGACTTGGTGCACCGGCGGGACGCTATGGCTATCGTGTTGTTTAACCACTTGCCGACGTTGTGTGTTTCTGGTCTAAGAGTCTAACTCAGCTGGCCGTAGTCGAAGGCTATGCGCTTGTCACTCTTCCTCCAATCAGCTTCGCCGGATGAAGCCGGAGGCTTGGTACTCACGGTCCTACAAGCACTCCGAACAAGGGGGTTGGGGCCAATATGGAGCGATGGCACGCCAAGGGATGATGGTCAGCGAATGAAAGGGCAGTACACGGTGGTAGGGAGGGAAATCGGTTTCCAGAATAATTATTCCTGTTTCTGCAACGAGGTGGCACGTGTATGAGTTGGGGAATTCAGGGTGGTGGGGAATACGCTCGCGAGCTCGATCGATGTCCCACTCGCAGCTGCGTTCGTTTCCCACCGGGTGTGGGAATTCAGGAAGGTTTCTCCTCGATCGTGTAGAAAAACACACGTGCTCCCAGTACTCTAGAAATTTCGGACCCCTCAAGCACTCGCGATCAGTAATACGAAAAGGGAGTTCAATATTCATGTTGTGGGGTGAGGTGGGAACTCCGTCATTCGAAAGCTTGGGCCGAGCACTGACACTTGCAGACACGCGTGTAGGCCACGTTCTTCTGATCGGGCTTACACGTGCATGCACAAGACCTGCCCTTCGGTTCGATAGACAATGGCTAATGACTCATATCTCGTACGTGCTGGCCTATTATCAAGGGTGGACAACCCTACGTGCAAGACAAACATCTGATCATCTAGCATGCTTACTCAATTTCGACAGACAAATACCCGTCTTCCAGTTTTATGCATACATCAGCAAAAGAAAAAAAAAGGAAGGTGACAATTAGGATCGTACAAAATTCGATCGCAGGCAATTAATCAATCAATGGGGTCCATCCATATGGAGGGGAGAACAAATGGGAGAAACAGTCATTCATCAATCACTAGAGACAAGCGAAGGAAAAATTTGAGATGTCGATCGAAAGAAACAAAGGCGACTTGCACCGGATACCAAATTTGCTCGGAAGGAAAGAAGAAGGGCCAAAATTATTTGGAGGGGTAGAAGAGAACACCACCGCAACACCTTCTCTCTCTCTCTCTCTCTCTCTCTCTCTCTCTCTCTCTCTCTCTCTCTCTCTCTCTCTCTCTCTCTCTCTCTCTCTCTCTCTCCTGTCTCTTATACACATCTAGATGTGTATAAGAGACAGCACACACACACACACACACACACACACACACACATCATCTCGATGCGAGCAGTCCCTCGCCTCGCACCTACGTCGAGTTGTCACCCTGCTTGGCCCGAGCATGCCCGTCCAGTTCGCCCGTGTGCCACACTCCGTCGTGGCCCCACGTCAACCCTGCACGCCCAGCACCAGCTCGTCGGATCGCCCAACTCTCTACTTACCTGCCAACTCATGCTCATTAGCCGGTCCTTCCGACCGTGCTAACTCCAAAAGATCTTAGAGAGCGAAGTTAATCGCACTTGCGAGATTTATAAAATGCATGCTTTGCGCAAGATACTCGGGATCGTGTCTTGGTGGGAGGAAGGAGGAAGGAAGTGCCTACGCCTGTATGGCCAGGCCGCGGAGTGGGGGACGTAGCCACACTCCACACACCGATCCGGTCATGCAAGCGTTCAAGCCAATAAGACGGAGGAGAGGTATGCGCGCACAAGGGCGCCACAAAAGATATCAAGAATGAGAAGATTACAGTTGCGATCACGCCCGCCAAAACAAAGATTACAGTTACACACGAGATTAAGGCGCGAGAAAGCCAGAACACAGTTCCTGACGTGGCCGAGCGTGCGCCAACAGGAAGCGCCGCGCAGCAAAAATTGAGATGCGCCCAAATTCCTATTCTAAGTCCCAATTACAAAAAGAAAAATCCGAACGAAGCAAATTCCGAGAGGCCGCAGGGGCTCAACATCAGTTGAAAATTCAAAAAGATTTCCCCGCGCGCCAATCACGCCAAAATTCCCATTTCCCACAGCAGAACAAGAAAAAAGCTATGGCAACTGTTTATTCGTCGCGATTGCTGAGGTCCGATCAACTATCAACCGCCATGGGTCCAGACCAGCCTTCAATCGAAAGAGACAAGAAAAAAACAGGGGCATCCATGCAAACCGCCAGGCCATTCCGACTCAACCAATCCCCCCCCCCCTTCCCCGATACAGCCTTACGCAGAAATCCGTGCGGTTGCAGAAAACAATTTGTCACATCACTGCCTGGCTCGGTACCCATTTTGTCGTGTAGCTCTTTCCATGCTGCCTGCGTACAAGCTGAGATCATGTCAATTATCGTTGAACGGGCTTGCATGAAACCGAAATTATGTTGTTTTCTTTCATAGGAGCAGCACATCCTCCAGGCTGCCATGAGTACGGTTAGCCTGGAGTAAGTGAAGAGATTGGTCATGAATGGTGACCAATGTCCAACCTCCGCCGGAGGGGCTCCTAGAAGGAGGGTGGACAATTCCCAGGGGAGGTGGTGATCTGTAAGATAGTGCCACGCTGCGTCCCACCACCTCCACAGTTGGAGCGCCATGGGGCAATCCAACAAACAATGCTCCAGAGTAGCTCTCCTGTTGGGATATGAGTTGGAGCAATACGAACACAGTGGGGAGAGCAGCCCTTTTTCCTCCAGGTCAGTCCGTGATGTGATCCAATTCGGGGTAGGTAGGCATTTATGTATGATTTGCCATTGCAGGGCTCTATCGCTAGTCGGTCGAATGTGTGAGAATGCAAACCACCGAAAGTGCCTAAGTTCCTGTGGCCCCAATAGGGAATCCCTCTCCCAACGTTTGGTTATTTGGTCAGAGATCCCGACTGACTTTCGTGCTGCCCTATATCCCTTCTTCACCGTGTATTGCCACAAGGACATTGTTTGAGATCCCCCCAGGGAGTGAGGGTGTTGGGGGAGGCTCTGACATCTCTGTTGGTTGTGCAATTTGAATTTCCTAAAAATTCCTTCAAGAATCTCAAAAGCTTTGCGCTGGTTGGGGTGGATTACACCGGTCCAGAGGGTGGGGATTCTGCATGGTTGGATACAATGTGTCTTACTGGTGAAGCGGGCTGGCTAATAGAACGAAATAGGGCACAGCAGCGGTGGAGACGGTGGCTCCGTTGTGGTAAGTCTTGTTGGAGTGGGGTTAGGGATAGATGGATGTTTCCAGTGGAGGATCACAATCAGCGCATGAGGGAGTTGGAGATCTTGGAACTGCACCTATAGTGGTGATTGGCAGTTTGCTCGATGTTCTGCTGATGCCATTAGACCCATACGTTGGCAAATGCACGAGGCCAGAACGACGCTGGTCGGTGTTTGGGCTTGGTTGCGCTGCCCTGTAACCCGAGTTATGCGGGGGTATGAGGCCTGGTAGAGGGATCTGGGGAGTTGTCGAGGGTGGAAGGCACTCCAGTGTCCATTGGCGAGCTGCTACGTAGATAACGCTGGCCGAAGCCCAGGTGGGTTGCTCCGTCCTGTAACCTAGCGGGGGGGGATGGTTGCAGAGTCAGTCGCGCCGCTCTGTAACCTAGCAGTGTTGGTGTGAAGCCTGGTAGAGACTAGGTATGGAGGATATGAGGGTTAAGGCAGGCTGAGGTGGGGCTGTTAAATCACACTAAGCCTGTGATTAAGGTAGTTTGTTCTCTGGCCGAAAACTCTCAGGGGATAACGATTGAGGTTCTCATAGTTCCTTCGAATTGTAGCTAGAAAAGAGACTTCTCATTTTTCTTCTAAACTTCAGCCTATTAAACCACCACTCCCTCCGACAGGAGGAAACAGCCCCTCCTGTGAGTCCGGGCGAATATTTAGGGAGGGCGGCTACCGGTGGGCGAAGCAGCAGGGCCAGTTCCGTGGGAAAGTCGGAACCCGTTGCATCTTCGGGCCGCAGGTAGTGTTGCCTGCTTTCCAAGGCGGGAACACTGGCGGCCACCACTTTTTTCTTGTTTCTTTTTTCTTTATTTTTATTTTTTGGTGAATGACTTGTCAGTTTTCGTTTTTTCATGGGCCTCGTTTTTTTTATGCAGTCCCACCGCACGTTTCCGCGTCCACATGCATAGAAGGTGAGGCTGAAAAAAAAAAAAAGGACTTAGGGCGAAAACAACAATAGGAACTGATGCAGACTGCTCCACAGGTAGTCGCTCACTATGAGAAGTCTCTGCAGAAGGGAAAGCGCCAGATTATCGAAGACTGAACTTCTCAGAGGACTAGCGAAGTATTGAGGAGGGAATGTGAGGCACAAGGCCTCGATAAGCCCTACTGGGCCCCTATTTGCAACAGCGTCGGCCTCCCTAAGTGAAGGCAGGCTCGACAGACCTCAAGAGGCCTATTTTGGACTACTATGCAACTGGGGAAATTCAGGCAGTTGCGCAGCGCCAGTCGGTTGGAAGCACCCAGGCCCAGGCTGCCTTTCATTGCATGTAACTGAGGCAAGGCCTGGGCCGGATACACAAAGTGGACCGAACAAAGGCTGAGGGCAGTTGGGTGCTGGTAACCGCCTCAGGCCCTGGGCCTGTTTCCTTCGGTCTGAGGCTCAGCCTCCCTGGGCCTACCGGAAGCTTCTGGGTCGGGGCCCAGTACCGCAGCACACCACGCAGCAGCAGGCCACTTTGATGTAGAGAAGGGCCTGCCCACACATTGAACATTCGGGCACTGGCTGCTTTGTGCGCAAGCGCTACTGCGCTATCGCCTGCCAGGCTCACTAGCTCACGGGCGAGCTGGAAGGAGCAAGCAGCCATAGCCGAGCTGCGCTGCTGTATGCTGGATGGGGCGCATGGTGGTCCTTGGGTGCAAGTGGCATTTGTGAGTTGGGGAACGAGGTTGTGAGTGATACGAGAGACATACCTGGTGCTTGAAGCGTGCGACATTGGTCGAGATCTGCTCGTACTTCAGGGAGCTGTTGACGTCATCAGCGGCATTGTAGAGTAGGCTAGATAGGATCTGCCATCTGTAGTCTGGGCGCCGAGCGCCAGATAGGATATCAACATTGGCTCTTCGTTGATGATGATGATGGGACTGTAAGCTTTTGGTTTGCTCTTATTTGGTGAAACTCGTGATGCAATTCTGCTTTTGGTTTGAGGTCACGACTATCTGGTCTCATGTGTATGATGATGTTGATTGCTGAAGTTCGCTATTGCTCATCTTCGTTGGACCGGCGGCCTTGCTACCCGAGGCCTCGTAGTTGACAAGGATGACAGACAACGTTGACGCCATCGCCACATGAAAGGTAAGGTCTTCAGCGTTAGCGCCTTGCGGCCTGCGGACGGCAAGGCCCGCCCGCCAGGCAACGCACGAACCTCGCGGTTGCTGCTTCGAGCGACCATAGCCTCGTGACTCGAGCGCTCACGGCCCCAGCTTTCGCCAGCTGAAGTGGGTAGCCCCACATGGGATCTGGAGGACACAGTAACGCCAGCATACTGAATACAACTACGTGGGCGGGAGGTTTTGCCACGACAACGACAAGGTTAACGGGGTCAACACGGTCAACGATGCCGATGGGCACGACTGAGGCTTTACTTCAGGGCGCTGCCCAGTGGCTTTCGTTTCTTCAGATGAGTCGTGACCTTCTCCGACAGAAAGTGGATGAGATGAGGCTGGTGGCTGATGGGCGGAACGCACTGCCATATCTCACACACCAGAGCATGATGCAGACCCTTGTGCACATTATCACGAAGCTTGAGGATATTTGGCAAGGTTTATTGACCAGCGACAGGCGGCGACTTTGATGCGACACTGCTACGCAGTCTTTGAGGAGGGGCAAGCACTGTGCGCCGTGTCCATAGAGCACTGGTATGCTCAGTTAGATCTGGAGGAGGAGGACGATTCGCCATCATCGCCCGCAACACGTACGCAAGTGGCAGGATGTCCATGCATCGGCATCAACAGCAACAACAACAACAACAATAACAACAACAGCAACAACAACATCAACAATAACAATAACGACAACAACGGCAATATCGTTGCTGCTGCCGCCGGTCCCTTTCATGGCGATTCTGGAGACAACAGCAATATCATTGCTGCTGCTGCCGGTCCCTTTGATGGCGATTCTGGCGAGATTGGCGGCATCATCAGTCATGACAACACCAACAACAACAACACCAGCAGTGTTGTTTTCGGTGTGATCTCACGGTCGTGTGTTGATGGAAGGGTGGAGGGGGGGGGAAAGAAGGGTGGAGGGGGTCAGACGCGTACCACGACACTCCCCTGCCAGCAAACAGCAGAGGCTTGCAATGGCTGCAGATTACTTCCCACTCATTGCTACCCTCTTCCCTCAAATAGAACGGAACATATGGTAATTAATAATTATCACTGCATCTAGTCTGAAAGTTGCCCCTGATACAGGCATATTGACGGTCGGTTCCTTTTGGCGGAACCTACAAAGGACTGTGGATTATAGACAGAATCACTGTGGAACAACAAACAGGCTTGTCCATGACTGCTAATATTTTGGTGGGGGGAGGGGACCGGAGTGGATCGGAGGGGAGACGCAGGGATTGGTCCAGTAGGCGTGGTCCCTGATGCTACCGGGGCTGGCCCCTGGCCGGTATCGCCCACCTGCAGGTCAGGTGCAGCCCCCGCAT